ATATTGATCAATAGCTTTTTTTTCTATTCCATTAAAGACACGTGGTCAACCATCTTCGCCTCGATATTTAAGTGAATTTGTTTGTTTCACTTTATTAATATTGTTATAGATAGTCCTTAGTGGAATATTTGTTTTATAATGAATAACATGAGCAGATCGTACGCCTTTGTTCCAATAATATACTATTGATATATGATAGTTTTTTAAATCATTAAATGATGTCATGATTAAATGTATATGTATCGAAAAGAAAAGAAATCACACTTCTATATGGTCAACGCGTAATACAGCTAATGAACATATATCCTTGAAAACATGAATTTCGTAATTTCTTTCTAATAACAAGAAAATCGTTACATAAAAAATTTAATTTTATGCAAGTTTTTTTTTGAACACAGCTGTATGTAGGTTTTTTTTCAACAAAATTCAATATGCATTTTGCATTAATTAATATTTCGTAATAAACTTCTACTTGACAAAAATTAAAATCAAAATTTTGTTATTCATTATACAAATTTGCATTGATTGTTAAAAATTTTATTTGACTTAATAGATATAACGGTTATTAATGAAGTAAAAACATAATAATAAAAAATATTTCCTACTATAAAAATAGAAGAGTAGATATCCATTCTCGACAATTAACTTCGAAAAATGAGTTCAACCATTGTTTCTCGATGTATATCAACATTTATCTAATTCCGTTCTTTTCTTATGCATTAGTAACAAAAAGAAAGAGAATTTTTCAGAGCTTAAAATTTATAAAATTAATTACTTTGACGATTCTAAAAACGATTCTCTTTTCTACTCGTTTACCTTCTTTCGATATTATCCCGTTTCACTGACAAGTTAAGATTCAATTTGAGTATCTATCTTTTTGAAAACTGATAGAGCACTGTTGAGATGGATCACTACTACGTGTTTTACAAGTGATAATTCAAACGAATAGGAGTATGTTATCTTTCCGTTTCATCAAAACTCTCTTAATTAGCGCTTTTCATCTACGCAGTGTTTTTTTTTTCAGAATTTTACTAAAGAAATAAACTAATGACACTATCCGATATTTTTAAAGCGAACGTTACCGTCAGTAGAACGACCAGAAAAACGCTTTCGATTAGCGCGTGCGACTGCTGAATTAAAAGTGTTGATGTAACGTGATCAACTCTATGAATATTGGTATGGATGCCGGTGAAGGGTAAGAAGACACTCATATCCTTAAATTTTAATAAGCAGGTAGTGATTCTTGGTATTCTCTATTACTTGTGCTTTAACTTATCGACCAGCTGGGAAATTTCTCTAGTTAGTCTTAAATAGTCGATGAAACGGGATTGAATCCTTATTTCTATATAATTAGTATTCTATGTCATTTACATGTCAATGATATACACCTTGACTTTTCATAAGCCCTTTTCCCAATTTCTCACAAATAATCAGAACTCGATACCGTCTGCCATATTTAGTCAAATAAGAGAAGATGGCTGGTACAGTTTAAATGGTGCTGCACGATGAAAAATTTGTCGCCTGTGTACACACTAAAAATGCAACGAACCGGAACTCCGGTTTGGATTTCGAGTACTACTCAACGTTCATAGACATTATGTATGTATGCATGAACAATATATTTAAAATTTAAAAATAAATATTTCGTAATAAAAAAATTGAAAAACGTAAATTAACAAATGAACAAAGACGTGAAAATAAAAGATCAAGTTGAAATTTATCTTTATCAGTTAAAAAACTTTTAATTAATTCAAAACGTTTTGATTTTGTTAAATTTAAAAGTATATTGAAAATTATTTCAGCATCATTATATGATGAATTTGATTTATATAATAATGGTAATTCATGTAATAAATCTGTTGGAATATCTGTTTGAAAAATATTTTCTAGATTATTTAATCGACGTAAATAATCAAGTTTCATATCAGAAGATATACGACGCCATTGTTGTATAAATTCTGTTATATTTTTTGGTATAGAAAATATTATTTGATGATTTGTTATTGGTTCAGATGGTATCATTGTTTCTGAAGATGATGAATAAGAATCTTTTGTAGCTGATTGATTCCATGCTATAGATTGTCGTTCTAATGTTAATGTTTCATTTCGATCAAGTGGACGTAAATGTGCAGCTTCAACAATTTGTCGAAATTCATCATATGTTGGACAACGTTGATGTACAGCACGAAATTTTGCATCATTTCTTTGCCAATAAAGATCTTCTTTTGATTTTTCATTAGCAAAATTTGTTGCTAATTTACGTAAATCAATTGGTTTTATCTGTTTCGACATTACAATTATGAAGTTAATCGAATGGAAATCTAAAATAGAATGTTCTTTTATTTTTAAAATACTTTCTTCAGATATGCAAAGTATATGTCAAACAATTCTATCAAAGTGTACAATAATCATGTTCATCATTTGACTCGTTTAGAAGAAAAAAAACAAACATGAGTTTATATTAATAAATATAATCTTTAATTCTATACTGCGTATATGCTGCTTCTATTTGGCACAATTGTTCTTAGAAACATTGAATCATTCATTCAATTGAAGAAAAATAATGATTATTGGATAAGGTGTTCACCAATAGATATCGTACGTAGTATTCATATAAATCAACAGTGAAGAGGAATGTAACAAAAAAACTCACTTTGGACATGTCTGCCTTAGTAACAATCATCGTCTAGTTCAGACACAGTATTAGATATGACGTACGCCTTGATTTTAGATAGATATTTCCAGATATTTCGAATGAATAAATGATGTAGTTGAAGTGTGGGGTTGCCAAAGTTAAACTTCAAAAACTAGAAGTTTCGTTTTTTCAAAAGATCAGACGTTTACTAGGAGATTTTTTATTCAAATGCGGTTATTGTTTGGTGGTCTTTTCTCGAAGAAAACTGAAATTTTTATTCACTTAAACACTTTGTATATTCTATTGCCAAGTTAATGACGACAAACATTTTTCTCTTAAGTTATATAAAAGAAAACTGAACAATAATTGGTTGTATGGTATATTATTATTATTATTAGTCATTTTACAGTCATTCCTTGAAATATAGCGACAAAATATAAAATAAACTTTACGTTAAAATCGATTTGAACTAAAACAATATGAGTATGTTGAGATATCAGGTTGTCCAGAAAGTTCCTGCAACTGCATCTGCATTGTGTGCATGAAATATTTCATTGATATTATTGTGTAAAGCGTGAGTTTTTACTATGATGTATGTCTTCTTTTGGCTGCTTGCATCGTTTTATGTGAAAAAATTACTTTTCACAACGATGTCTGTCCATGTTTCAGATATGTCAAGCATCGAGCAATCATAAAGTTTTTTTTACTTGAACAGGATTGAATGCTACCGAAATCATTAGGGAGCTAGGAATCTTTTCTAAAGACTCTGCTCCAACGTACTACACTGTTACAAAATGAGTGATTGAATTCAAGAGTACCATAGGCAACTTTGAAGACGCACTATGAAGTGGTTGACTATTGATCACATTCGCTGATGAAAACATTGAAGTCGCTTAACATATTGTAATGCGTGGTCGATAAATCTCTGTCCGTGGTGTAACCGACGAGTTACGCATTTCAAAAACTATAGTTCACGAGATTATGAGCGATCACCCGGGCATGCGCAAGATCTGTATACGTAGAGGATCGAAATTCTTGACCTCACTTCAATACTCTAGTTGAGTGGAGTGCTGTCAGGAGCTACTCCAGGAAAGTGAACTGAATCCGATCAACTTTCTCGATCCCATCGTAATCGGAGATGAGTCATGAGTGTATCACTATGATCCGCTCAACCGTCTGGAAGCCAAGGTCTAAAAGAAACCAGTAGAAGAGACGTCAACTCAACCCCATCAGTCAGCAAAGTCATGCCGGTCATTTTTTGGGACAAAGGCGGCGTGCTGCTCATTGACTACCAGACTCATAGGAAGACAATCAATGGATCCTCATCGAGCAGCTACATGCTGCTATCCTAGAGAAATACCACGGCAAAAGCAACCACCATGAAGTGCTACTGCTTCATGACAGCACGCTCATCTTCAGAGCAACGTTGTACAGACTGCCATTTGCCACACCGACTTTGTCGAATTGAATCATCCTATCTATTCTCTGAATATTGCATCTACTGATTAAACACATATTCTCACATTTGAAGAAATTTCTTCGTGTCAAGAGTTTTGGCTCTGATGACGAAATGGTAACGACTGCTGTTGAGAACCACTTGAGTAATCTTCATTCGAAATTATTTTTTAATGAATACATAGTTTGCGTGATCATTGGCAACGTGTACTTGCTAGCGAAGGTCAGTGCACTAAATAAATGCAGCAGTTGTTATCCTGCGATTTCATAGTATATGAATTGCACGGACTTTCCAGACAACCTGATATCACGACAGTAATAAACTATTAGTACGAATCCTTTTCAGAATATTCATAACTCATTAAAACCTACATAATGCACATTGTCTCGATTCAAATGTTATATGACACTGAGAAACATTCCCTCATTAGTATTTAATCGAATCTGTAAAACTATCTGTATAATTACAATTTCGAAAAACTCAAAGAATCTTATAAACTAATATCTTAAACAAACATTCATTGCAAGATACACTAAATGAAAATAATTATCAAAACAATCATTTTCTATTTTCTTATTCAATAGAAGTAAAAGAATAGAAAACGTCTACTTGTCTATTCATTATGTCATATATACAGTACGATAGTTTTGTTTTTCATTATATGTATATGTCATAGGTCAATCTAAGATTCGCCTAGAGTATTCTAGAATCTAAGATTGGCCTAGAAAAAAGTTAGACCAAACTTAGATCTTAGAATAGACTAGGCGAATCCTAGATTGGCCTATGACATATATATATTCATCTATTCTACGCAGACAAAAAAAATTAAAAAGGAACAGAATATCAAAAACAGAAAAAAAGAAACATAAAAAGCATTGAAATAATAAGAAAATACATTGAGAAACTTTATTACAGTTTACGCCATGTCCATGCTTCATTGATATTAATCTAAACATTAAAAAGAAAATTTATAATAATAATAATAATAAAGATGATTTTGATATAAAACCTTTTTAGAATTTCTTTGTTTTGGAATAGTTTGATAATTACGATCTTCTTCCTTATCAGAATCACTAATCAATGAAGTTATTTCAGATATTTGTTTTCGTGTTGCTGTTACATATGTTGCAGCTGCTGGTCCAGTTATAATATTTGGTGCAAGTAAATTACCACCATTATTTGTTCGATAAGCTATTGTATAAACAGGTTGACTTGGATTAGATACCATTAATGATGGTTGTACAGTACCATATTTTAACATATTAGTCACTTTTGTCTAAATCAAAAAAACTGTTAGCACAATTCCTGTAGGATTAAAATATGAAACATGATGTAGTTGCTGTAATATTATCTATTTCAAAATATAATAATTTGCCATGCTGAGTCGAATAATGTATTTTTGTTTTAAGGTTCGAAATGATCTGACACTGTTATCTAAATATTTTCAAAATGTCGACTCCTTCGTTACATGACGGCTGGTTGTGGAGTTTTCAGAAACATTCATATAGCAGAGTCAGATTATTACAAACCTTTAAACAAATATCACCATGCAGCTCAGCATGATAGATTACACTTGCCTAGCTGCTTTTCTCGATGATCAGAGGTCAATTGAAAATCTCAGGAAAAGGCATATAATTCTCGAATGGAACACGTTAGGAGTTTCGACCTTGTGTAGATCGAAAGAGAAATAGCTTCAGCATATCGTTTGTGAAAATCTCAAGCAAGAATCACTTAATTGGTCTCCGATCAAAAATTATTCAAAAAAAAATTCTTACATTTGGTTGAACAGTTTCTTCCATATATTGTTGTTTTGATTGTGGAACAATATATGATATTGATGATGGATTATTATTTGATGATATCATTGGTGTTTGTAATTTAGTTGTTTGTGATGTTGATGCTGTTTGTTGAGGTTGATAATAAGGAATAGGTATTGGAATAAATTGAGTTTGTTTTTGATTATTATCATCAATAATTGTACTTTCATCTGGACTATTTGATCTTGAACGATGACTGGATTGACGACGAATACGAGGACGACGACGTGATGAACGATTCGTACGAGATAAATCATCCATTTCTAACGTCTGAAATAAAAAAAAATTTTTTTTTTTATTAAAAAATAATCTACAATATACTTCTGTCATATAATGTCGAGGATAATAAGGATCAAACTAAATATATTATAAATAGACATGAGATTTTTTTGTTTTTGTTTTTTTAATGTTTATAACTTACATTTGTATGTTGATGCATTAGATTCATTGTTGGACTACCCGATCTTGAATATCCAAATAAACCAGGAGGAGTTGGTTGATATGATGGATTAACTAAAGCAGCATAACTTGGTGGTGGTGGATAACCCATTGGATTTTGTTGATTATTATTATTATTATTCAAACCACTTATTTGATAACAAGTATTTGGATAATCTTGATGTGGATATTGTGCTTTTATAACTGATGTTGTATTACTAAAATTAAATCACAAAATCAAAAATTAACTTTTTTTTTGTTTATTTTAAATCAAAAATTAACCTTTCTGATGGTGCTTTATAAACACTACCATTATATTTATCAACATTATGACTAAGAATTCCTGTCACTTCCATATTTCGATAATCACACCAATTAAGTAATGATGCAGTAATAAAACATAATGAAGTTAAAAAAGATAAAATAAGATTTGGTACTAATAACCACATACCCCAACGACGAGGATTCTCATTATTATTTAAACGTAAACGTTCAACGTAGACTAAAGATTCTGTAGCAAATACAGTAGCACCAATTGTTATAAATATAACTAGAAAATAAATGAATGGTTTGAAATTTTTATTATATTAAATTCTTCTTATTTCGAATAAATTTTTAAATAACGCTTTTCGACCGAGATGATGTTCACTTAATGACTGATAGGAAAGTAAGGAGGTGCGGGTCCACATTTTTGTGGATCCAGTTGGGTCTTAACTCGAGGTTTTTTCCATCAATACCTGGCACTCTTCGTGTACATAAACAAGT